CGGGCCTGGGCTCTGCTCCAGCCGGAGGCAGACGTCAGCGGCACGCAGAAAAGCGGGTGGCTCCCGCAGCACCCGGCTCAGCTGTGGAGACCCCGGCCCACAGACGGCTGGGGATCAGCAAAGCGACCTGGACAGCTGTGGCCAGATGTTTGCCCTGCGCGAGGCAGCTCACCCAGGATCCGGGACACCGCGCCAGGGGAACCGTTGGTCAAAACTTGCGCAGCCACCGCGTTATCGACCGTACCGATGCGGCCTGGACACTGAAATGTTTTTTAGCACAAAACTTGCCCCGCGTTCACAAAGCCGAGCAGACGGGCTCATGCGAGCTGCGTGGGTGCCAGTAGCTCCGAATCAGGAGACAAACCTCCCCTCTAGTGGCTGCACCCACAGCTGCCTCCTCTCCCCACGCCCGAACCAACAGTTCTCACCAGCTCTTAGGCTCAACAGGGATGCTAAGTGCATCAAACGTCTCACAGACGTGCCAGACCAGCACAAGCACGCCCCGGGCACCAGAGAAGCCACACAGCCACGAAGCACCCCCGGCCTGTTTCCACGGTGAGGATGGTTTGTGGGGCCAGTTACCCCCCCTTACAGCAAGCGTTTAGTGGGATGGAGGATCAGGCCTATAGTTTCTCCAGGACCTTTTTATTATAGGTCTTTATCCCAGTTTCAGCCTCATCACCACTGCAGATCCCAGAACGTGCTGCTCAGATCCTAACTGCAGCACAAGCACACACACTCACATGTACCTTTCCAAGACGATTAAGAGTTTCCACTTTTCCATTTATAAATTAGGGAGCTTGTCACACCCTTTCAGACAACTCGCACCCTACAGCTGGGCAGACGAATGCTGAACCAGCTCTGTTGTCCGTGGCCAAGCTGCCCTGAGGGTGCAGCCTCTCGCACTGCAGGGCCATCGGCTGCCAGCACCTGTGTCCTACGTGACGTTGCAGTCTGTAGGAATACAGCTTATACTCTGCACACAGACTGTACAGGAACACAGTAGGAAATAACTGTCTGAAGCTTCCCTGCTCATGACAGTGTTTCAGTGACGCAGTCCATGGGGCTGCCTTCCCAGGAAAACACAGCGGTGACGTTTTCGGGGGCTGCAGCAAACCCCGTCCGTCCTCAGCTGCAGATGTGGGAACACCTCCAGGCGGGGGTGCGGCGCTCAGCTCTGCGAGCCCCCTGCTCTCTCCCCGCCATCACACACACGCACACACATACAAGCCCAGCCAGCTCTTTGCTCCTCGGCGAGACGCGACACAGCACCAGACCGCTGACACCAAGTCAGCCATGTCTGTGCCAAGTGGTCTCACCCTGACACAGGTTAACGTGTTACAGCGTGCACTTCGAGTGGCTGATACACCGGCAGGCTGTGCTGCCATTCAGCGAGACCTGGACAGGCTGGAAAGTTGGGCAGAGAGGAACCTGATGAGGTTCAACAAGGGCAAGTGCAGGGTCCTGCACCGGGGAGGAACAACCCCATGCACCAGTACAGATTTGGGGCAGACCTGCTGGAGAGCAGCTCTGTGGAGAGGGACCTGGGTGTGCTGGTGGACAACAAGCTGACCATGAGCCAGCAGTGTGCCCTGGCTGCCAAGAAAGCCAAGAGTATCCTGGGGTGCATTAAGAGAAGTGTGGCCAGCAGGTCGAGGGAGGTTGTCCTTCACCTCTACTCTGCCCTAGTGAGGCCTCATCTGGAGTACTCTGTCCAGTTCTGGGCTCCCCAGTTCAAGAAAGATGAGGAGCTACCGGAGAGTCCACAGGAGGGCTACGAGGATGATGAGGGGACTGGAGCATCTGTCCTATGAGGAGACTGAGGGAGCTGGGCTTGTTCAGCCTGAAGAAGAGAAGGCTGAGACGGGACCTTATAAATGCCTATGAATATCTCAAGGATGGGTGTCAGGAGGATGGGGTCGGACTCTTTTCAGTGGTGCCCAGTGACAGGACAAGGGGCAATGGGCACAAACTGAAGCACAGGAAGTTCCGTCTGAACATGAGGAAGAACTTCTTCCCCCTGAGGGTGATGGAGCACTGGAACAGGCTGCCCAGGGAGGTTGTGGAGTCTCCTTCTCTGGAGATATTCAAGACCCACCTGGACGAGGTCCTGTGCAGCCTGCTGTAGGTGACCCTGCTTCTGCAGGGGGGATGGACTAGATGACCCACAGAGGTCCCTTCCAACCCCGAACATTCTGTGATTCTGTGAGTACACCTGCAAAATACAGCCCTTGCTCCCTCCGTCAGTCTGTTCCACCTCTGCCAGGGCCAGAAAACGCAGGCTCTAGCAGAGCCCTGGTCCGCAGACACACTGGCTGCCTCTGCTGGGAATGCAAACAAGAGAAGCTCACAGCATGAGTGCTTTGGGATTATTCTGTTGAAGGCAGGTTTAAAAAGCAAAACCAGCTGCAGTCCTTAAAAGCCAGATTGTTACCAACACTGCTGTGTTAAAGCTGCTGTGCATGTTCACACCAATGCATTTCTTCACGCGTTGTCACTTAGCGATTGAGAAACCAGTTGGTGGCTCTAGCTCTGTTACTATGCAATTCCATCTTGCTTTTACTGGAGATAGCGGCTTTCCTGAAATGGGAACAAGAGCTATTTTTTTTGTCCCTCCAAATACTGTTTGTAGTTACCTGAGTAGCTGCCAGTCTGAGAAAAATTAATTCTATTAAGCATGCAATAATTCCTCTACACTATTCAAAAATATACAAAAATAAAATCGTGTTTATAATATCCTGCTCCTCAAGAAAAACATCTCTAAGACAGAAACACAGCAACAGGGTAAAATTAATGTATCAATTAAGAAGCACAAAATTCCCAGAACAAATCTAGTCACTCTTTTTAATCCTGAGAAAAAACACAGGCCACAGTATACCTCTGCGTAAGGAACCTCACACACAAAAGTAACAAAGAGGAGCCTGTTTTGACCATCGGTCCTATTCTCTTTCCTTGATGGACAAGCCTGTATAAATTCCACACAGATTAAAAAGCACTGGACCATGCAATTATAATGGCGGAGGGCATTTAAAATGCATTTACTGAGAAGACACACTGATTGTTATCTGTCTCCTGATGTCAATATAGTCCATTACATAGCTCCCCTTCTGTCACTTTATTTCATATATCAAAAATACAGCATGCAGCACTAAGTTACAGGATGGGAAAATGGTTCCTTCTGATGAAGTTACACTGAAGCACAGGGCTCCGTTTTGGCAATTAGTTATTGTCCTTCACATGGCCCAAGTCCTCGTCTTGCATCAGTGCCAGACAGGCTTGTCTATCACACTCCCAGGCTGTCGCCAGATCCTTTCTGTCGCCAAACCAAATTCATAAAACTAAAGAGACAGGACCACCCCATCTAGGAAATGCCCTGCCCGCTGCTGGCTCGCTTCACCCACAGGTCAAGGTCTACGACTTGTCAGAAACCTGACCAGGTCTCAGTTCTCGTCCAAGTCCACTCTGCTCAAGCTCTGCTATAACTGACATATATTTAAATTCACTCGATCTGTGGTTGAAGGTCTCCACTAATTCATAGGTCTCGGAACGATCCGTCGCATAGAAAAGCTGCACCTGATTCGCCAAGCACTGTGCTTCGTGGACCACCTGCGAGGTAAAACAAAGCATTTGTTACCACCTGGTTCTGCTGGACTTGAGCATCCCCTCGAAAAAGACTCTTCAGCAGCTGAAGGGCGACAGTCCTACTCATCGAATGGCTCTACTCCAAGCCACCTTAGTTTTGCAAACTCTTAACAAACCACCTCCCTCTTGTTCCTGACCTACTTACACACTTTAGCACTGTGCCTACAAACTACTCCCTGATGAGCAGACACCTCAAAGATGTCCCAGTCTAAGGCACTGGAGATGCACCAAAGTCTCATCTCTCCCTTCTTACGGTTGACCTATTTGTAAAAATTGATTGTCTGCTCTGAGACACAACAGGGCAAATGCATTGCCATGACTCCTCTGCACATAGTTTCAGAACTGGTGGAAGTAGGTCGGTTAGAGGTGGGATGCTTTAGTTATCTTGTTCCACCAGTATAATCCCTAGTGCCACTAGTCCTAGCATGGTACTATTACAGATATGCAAGTAAGAGCACCCCCACACACAGGGAAAAGAGCAAAGGCACGCACAAAGCGAACACAAAGCTCTGGAGGTCTCCTGATTTAACGAGCAGTATTAAGCTTCACTGTTTTACCTTGTTCGCAGGTAGCAACAGCTCACATTTAAATTTGCTTCCATTAGTAAGAAAACCAGAAGCATTTCTATTTTTTTTTACAAAAATAAACTAAAATACCCAGAGTAAGAAAAAAAGAAAAAAACGAATGTATGAGCTGAAATCACCAGACAGCTGAAGACTGATGATTTCCTTTTAGCTTTCCCTAGCAGTAAATAGATTAGGTTAAAGAAGTCTAGTCAGACCCCTCTTTGAGAAAGGGTCTTCTAAAGACTTCACTTTAATTTTGTTTTAATTCAAAAGTACAGGAGGAGTTGCAGCATAAAATGAAGGAATCAACGAACAGAGTTCTCTGATTTCTCTTACCAAGAACTTGGAGTCCATTTCTGCTGTCATCAGTACTATCCCTTTTTCCTTCTGCAGCTCAGGGTAATGGTACAAGACCAACTGGCTAGGAGCAGTTTCACCTTGGGTCTGAAGGAGATAAAGAAACCTGTCAGTATCCCACAAAGAACTTCAGCCTTCCTGCAGGTTTTCAGGCTTGATTACAAAACTCTGGAGTATCAGCTGCTATGGAGACAGCCATTTTTCAAGGCTTAAGGATCAGTTCTAATTAAAAGTTCATTATTCCTGGTATTTAGAGAAAACATAGGATTTGCAGAGTTAGGTTGAGTTTTTTCTTGACTAAAGACCATTTTGCATTTAAAATCACACAGAATTTCCAGAAAGACATTTGATCTCCCAGCATCTACTGGTATTTTAAGTAGTTTGCGCAAACAGTTCTAAAAAGTTTGGCTCTTACTTCTATTTTGAGACTACTTGACTTCTACCTCATTCTCCTTTAGACTAAGGAGACACTTAATAGCCATAAACTTACTAATTTACCCATAATGAATGGCAGTATTTCCCTGATAATTCTTCTGAAGTTAAGCTAGACAACCTGTCTATTTAACTATTTAGCAAATATTATATATTGTAATATGCTGGTATCATCTATTTCTGGATCCTATGCCATTTTTGGACTTTTTATTTCAACCACTCACCTGAATGTTTATTAGGGAAGTGAAGTGCAATTCTGTTCCTGACCACTGACCCACAAAGAATTCATAGCCTTCTTTTCTTGGCAAAGCATAGAGAAACTGCAGAGAAATGAAAAAAAACCCCAACAATTCTCCCTTTCCTAGAGCAAAACGATGCCCATATCATACTGGCCTCCAGAAAAAAGGCTTTCGCGAGAGAACGATCACAGAAAACCGGGTTTCTTTGCCCCACCAGGAGCGACAGGACAGCAGGAACCAGACTTCAAAGCAGACAATAAACCAGCACCACGTTATCAGTATTATTTCATTAGCAAATATGTTGGCACATATTTTTATCAGTATTATATGAGACAGACAAAGGAAAGAACAGTGAAGAACATTCAGACTCTGACCTTTTTGTTCACTTCTGGAAAATTAACTGCAGAAATGGTCAAATATAAGAGAAGGAGCATTCAGAGTATTTAATCCTGTAATTTTACCAACTGTTCCAGAACTGGCAGCAAACATTTTCTCTCTAGAGAGTAACAGTCCACTCAGCTCCATAGGCTAGGGACTTGCTCATTTTCCCACAGCAAGGGAAAGGACAATGTGGGAGCAGAAAAACATGCAAGATACCTGACTAAACGCCAATGCACTGTACAGAAATGCACTTAAAGCTATAAAGAACTACCCAAACTCCAAGTAGCTCAGGAAGCCAGACATATTTGATCTTGCCCTTGGCCACTGAAATACACAGGACCAATCCATCAATCCAGCAAAGTCTCCCATCCAGATCCACAAAAGCACTCCTCTCAAGGCAGCAAAGTCTAAAGGAATGAAGTATCTCATTTCTGTCTCAGCACAGTGAAATCTGCACAAAGTCCATGCTCCAGTGCACAAATTGCTGTAAAAACACATTACTTTCAACAGAAAACAACATTAATCCAGCAGCCCATGGTACAAAACTGCAAAAAGATATCCTTTAGCTCATTAGCTGTTCTGCTCTTTTGTAGTTCAACTTCTTCAAAGCCACAACATGCTCATGTGCACAGGAATCTTCTAATCGAAGCTCACAAGATATCCACCAACCCACGTGAGAAACAGGGAACCCCAGTCTTGGGAATCCACCCATTTCCGAAATAACCGTATTACGCATTTTCAGTATTTTATGCTTTGCCTTGCTGGCATCTACCTAAGACAGAACCCTCAGAGTATTTACTCTGTATCTGTAATAAAGGGTTTGACTACACCCAACCCCCTGTTTCCTTCTCATCACAGCTGTTGAACTACAACGCTCTGCAGCAGCACTCACCCTACTCAGTTGTGCAGTGCATGCCATACAGTCTTTTTTGACAACTCACACTCCCCTAGAGACAGAGGCGCATTGTTTACACAACAGTGTGCCTGCCCAGTTTGGCTTCCATGCAAACAGCTCGTATTCCCTTCCCAGTATCTACCTACCACAGATCACTGGTGTGGTGAAGAAACCATGGCTATGCACATTTATGATCAGGAAAAGCAGGCTAATGTGACAAGATTCAGCTCACTCTGTGGACAGAGCCCAAACATACTGATTTATTGCCTTTCTCCCTTTCAGATACTCCTGCCTCTCCTCACTGTCAGTAAACAAATGTAAAGAGGAGCAACTCACACCAGCTCTAAGACGAGAGAAATCACTTTCTCCATATACACTCAACATCACGCAACGGTGACACACAGCTACAGCTAACAACAGCTCCTCCAGGGCAAAGCAAGCGTGCTTTAAGCAATAAGGAAAGATATGCAGGAACATCAACAAAGCTGGCCCGCAAGGCTTGGCTCTTCACAACACTACACAGAAGATTTAACCACAAGACATCAATTAATGGAAACCGGAGGCGTGGAGCTAAATCTATTTCCATTCTGCACTCACGCTACTAAACCCTACATCTCTTATATACAGGTATCTGATACCTAGATCAAACTATTTGATACGTATGAATAGCCATTGCTTTTATCTGAACACCAACACACGTATTTGAACACCTGGATTTTACTAATCAAGCTGACACAAAAAGTCTGAATGCAGGAGGGTCAAAAGTTTACGAATTAGGCTTTAGAGAGGAGAAACGCACAACAGCTACACATGCACGCGCTGCGAGTCTCTGCCATACGTACCGATGGACATTTCTGGGCTCTCTTCCATATTAAATCAAACTTCTCTGCCTTTAGGGAAGGAGAGAGAGAAATTCAATATTCGTAACACAAACACGGACGCACAGTTTTTGAGAATCATCTCATTAACCTTTACAGGGAACAGCTTCCACCCACGGAAGGTCTCACTGCAGGAACGGCTAACAATGAGTGCACAGAAAACTGTATTGAGTTCTTAGTTACCTAAATGTCATTGGTACCTCGTTCTAACAATGCTGTCTCTAAGATGCTGCAGCAACCTCCCTGGATCCAAAGCTTTATTCCTTGGAGGGGTGGGGCCCACGCTTTCAGCTTACATTACGTTCTTTTTCAGTAATAGCTCCACTGCATCATGTGGTGTCAGCAGCTCAGCAAGATGACATATCCCTGGCCCAAAATCGTAGAATTTACATCACAGTCATCTGTTCTTCAGGATTAAAACGCAGCCTAGATATTTACTCACATAACATACTTCTTGCTTAGGTTTAGATTAAAACCACAAACATATTTGGTCATCCCTGATGAAACCTGGCAATCTCATTCACATGTCCTCTGCGTTCCCCCAAATCTTTCGCCTGCTCTTCTCTTCCCAGCACCATATATTAATACCTACTCTAAGGTGTTCATGAAAGCAAACACATGCCATTCATCAATGTGAAATTCCTCCACGTGTGCTTTTCAGCACTCAAGAACCAAGCCAGGCTTTGCTTCCAGCCAACAAAACCCTTCTGGCAAAAGACACAGCTTCTTCCCCTGATGACACCATGAACTGCCTCCTGATATGCCCAGGATCTGGTTCACATTAAAGCCTTAAAAGCTTCCAGAGCTGCTCTAAAACAGTGCACCAAAGAACAACGCCAGCCCCACTAATGGAAGTCCTATACCATCTTAACTGGAGTCCCTGGCTTTGGCCCTCTGCTACACTAAAGGTGCAATTCAAACGAGTTTCACAACACCCATGTGTTGGGAAAACTGAAACACGAAGCTGCTTGACCCCAAATCCCGTGTTGCCATTTTCAGAGCACACAGCACTTCACACATTCAGAACCCAGCCTCCGTCACTTCAGCTGCAGCCCAAAGAGCCAAGCACAACTGCAAATCAGACCCCAGATCTAAATGAGGTTTCAAGAACTCAAGAACACACAGTGCGTGCTCAGCTGTGAAAAGACAGATTTAAGAGATCGCAATCACACAGAGACTCTGGAGAAAAGAATAAAAAGAAATCCCCAAAGCAAAAAAACTCCTTCAGCCTAACGCAGATGAACAACAATTAACATCTGGTATAGTTATCAGGAGCAAGAAACACCATCTTATCACAGGAAGCACCACACAATCTCAAGGAAAGACAGCGCTGCCAATAGTTTTACATGTATGAAAGTTAAGCCATAAGTGATTAGCCACGTGCACATTATTAGCCAAGTGCTCTAGCACTGCCATATTCAACACACTAAACTTCCCATGTTGCAGGGAAGAGGGGAAAGAAAAGAGCAACTTTAAGGAAAAAAGGATGTGAAAATACAAATGCTACCTTAACAGATACTAGGGCCCTGCGAAGAGTATTGGACAGTCACAATAAAAAAATGCCTGGACATTCAAGCCAGGTGTGCAGGAAAAAAAAAGTATTGGGTTTATTCAGACTGATGTGAGAAAAAGGGATACACATTTTTGGAAGCAAAAGCCTTTATCTGGGGCAGTAAGATCACAGAAATAAAGTTTGTTCTTGAAACCTCATTTTCCTTCAATGCTTGCTTCTAAAAGCAACAGAGTCACTGCTAGAAAGGCAAGCTTTGCACATTGGCCTTTCAAGTGCCTCACTAAAGGAGAACTACTTACAGGAATAACAGCATAAACCGTGTCTTTCGCGGAAAAATACTGATTCCAAATCTGTAGGAGACAAAGGAGATAAGCTACAGTTAAAATCAAGCATTTAGCAGTAACATTAAATGCTTTAAAATGAATGTCATTTGTCAACTAACCTTTCTAAGTACTTTAAGAAGTCATTTTCCAGTCAAGCCTGACTGACCTTCCTGCTAATGCAACACACTTCTCCTAAGGTTCCAGAGTACTCGTACCAAACGACAGATTTGAACTAGATTGATTAACAGCAGTAAGCACTGGGCTCAGAGGTGCCTCACAATTTGCTGGCTATCAGAAGTGCTTCTTACAGCTTTCCCAGCAATCGCACTTCTGATTTCTAGGGGGTCTGAGTTGTTTGGTTTGGTTTTTTTTCATAAAGAACATACAAAACATTTTCAACAAAGGACAAGACTTTGCATAATGCTCCTCTGTGTTCTCAATCTTTTTCTTCACCACAGCAGGACAGCAACACCGACATAAAAGTTGAAATGGACAAGTACAAGTAAAAGCCCAGAGACCAGGACTCTCAGTTGCTCTTCCCCAGTCCCACATAACTAATGAAAATTGTCAGCAAAATGCAATGGAAATCAAGAAACTCGAAGGAAACTCCTGAATTATAAAAAGCACTCCCTGCTACAACTGGCTGCACACCATCCCCTGCAGAGCACATAACCACTGCTGTAATGTTCTCAGGCAAGCAGCCAGATTGCTGCTAAGTCGTGCCAGACGGCTCTTTCATATGTGCTGCTCCCCTTAAATGATCATGCCTACGTGAAGCTTCTCGGCATACAGTCTGATCAGGAAGAAAAAAAATACCAGATCCAACTCCAGCCACATCAGAAATGTGGAACAGATGTGACCTGTAACTAGATAAAAGGGAATACAGTGCAGAGGCAGACAGATATTAGGAAGAACAACTCGATTCACGCTGTTCTTCAAACAAACAAACAGACAGACCGACCCACCCACCTCCTTCCTACCCTAACCATCCCTAGTACGGCTGCAGAGATTCCTGAGTGACAGACAATGTAAGGAAAGATAGGAGATGGCAAAAGCTTTGTTTTTGTTCCTGTAGAACAGATTTAGCATAAATCACGTGAGCTGCTGCTAGGGTTTCTCTTTACCTGGCTTCAAACCTGACAGGAGCTTGGTGATGCGAATCCAACTTTAATCGCATTAAATAGCAGCAATAAGAATCACAATAGTGACAGTTTTTAAGTGATCAAGTCCAGATGTATTACTTATCAAGGGGGTGCATCCTAGGTGGACTTACCTATATGGAGAAAACTTTATCTTCTACTATTGATACGCACATGAATGTGCTTTTTATAAGCACACATCCATAGCCACGTTTTATTTTTCAGTCTAAGTAAAATTTCCATCCTCACATGTAGATTACTATTAAGCACAGATGTGATGCAAACTTTATTCCATTTAAATCAGTCACCTGTTTTATCTCCTCCGCTGACTTTTCTTTCACCATCTCAACATTAAGAATCGAATCAAGCGTCTGGAAGAGAAAGCATAAGGAATTTGGCATGACAACAGTTCTCTGATTCAAGTGAGAATCCAGAATGAATGGATGCAATTACAGAGAACAAAATCAAGCTGGAGGAACTTAATTCTGTTTACAAAGTGACTTATTCCTCTGAATTGCCAAAGAAACCAGTAAATCATAAACAGGAAAGCACTGAGAAGTGGATTCACACACTGAGGCGGAACAGAAGAGATTCTGTCAGGACGCAGAACAGACTTTGCTCCAGTTCTGCAGATCTCAGCTGAAGCTGCGAGAGGAGCTTTCCCCTTCAGCCATCTCGGACACGTGCTCTGCTGGCAGATTTACACGTAAAGTTTGCCAAAATACAAGAATGTGAAAGAATAAAACCATTCTCTTGTCCCTCTGCTGGCTGATCTTTGGAAATATATTTACATGCCGTAAAGGCAGCTTAACCCTTTCAATTTATTACTCTCGCATTCAGTACAGATCCCCCAACCAGCAGGAACTTCCAGGATGTCGAGAGAGAAAGGGCTGGGTAATAAAAAACCAGACTGCTGGGAGTTTTACCACTTGAATGTGATCCCGATAGTAAATGAGTATCTTATGCTCAAGTGCAGCATAAGGAACATTAGTTTTATCCCAAGAAGCTCTTGGCTGAAGCACTGATGGTAGCAATACAAGATCATCTACATCCTTGACTTGCCAGCAAGTTCTCTCCTAACCCTCAGGTTCGTTTCCCTTACCTTGTCTTTTGTGAAACCTCCCTTTGATGTCTTGGTGCCCAAGCCTTCTGCCTAGAAGAAAACATTCTTCCTTATTTTTTTTATAGCTGATGCTTTAATACCACTTATTTGCACTCCCTGCCACATGTAACGCACCTGCTGACGAGATCTCCTGAGTATGAGCGCAAATTTAAAATACTTACACATTGCTGCAGTGCATTTTGTTACAACAGGAGAATACAAAGATGAGTAACTTCATGTGAATTATGAATTTCAAGATCAAAAAGGATTAAAGCAAGCTCTTCTGCATTTTGGATCCAGTATTATTGAGCAGCTTGCTTTCATTCACTACAAAATGATAAATGCAAGATCATGTCACCCCATCTGGCCTAACGCCAAACTAATCTGGCACTAACTAAACACTTAGATAAGGCCTCAAACACAGAATTTACAGCTTAAAAAAAAGAGCAAGACAATATGCTGGAATACAGAACAATATTTTCAGCCACCAGTGTGAAATTCTGGGGCTCCTTACTAAGCGGCATGCTGTATGTTTGCAGCATGATGCTGACCCTGTATAAACGACATTATAGCTTTCACGTATGCAAACTGCAAAGAAAATCAGCCTCGCCTTTTCCTCCACGCATCTGACAAACTCCCCTTGCTTGGAGTGTCCCACGGGCTGCTTTTTCACTTCGCTTCTTTTTTCCATGCGGGATTCAAACACGTCCGGACTGGATCTGGATGGGATAAAGGGACTATTGACAGTTCTGGGTGATTAACACTGCTCGGCCGTTTAAAACATTCACTGTGGTACCGATTCCTGTCCTTAACTTGGAATTTTAACTTCTCTTTGGTAAAACAACCCCTTACCAAGACGGTCACGTTGGGGGCCGACTCCCTCTCACTGGCAACAACGGCAGCGAACTCGAAGGCCGCATCTGGCCTGAACGAGTTCATTTTCCCACAGTGGCCGAGGCTAAACACGACCTCCCT